CTAAGAATAGATTCACAGGGTTCTTGAAATTAACACACTCAAGAACTCAAAACACTCACGTAGGAGCAATTTTATTTCAACACAACTTAGCTACTTTACAACGTGAATTGAGAGATATTTAAAGTAAGAAAAATCTAAATACAAACCTAATTGAGCAAGGAAACAAATAAGGTAAAAACAAACCCTAAAAAGAACACAAAATTTGGCCACAAACTCTCTTTCTTCAAGCACAAGTAAACGACCTTTTAGCACAGCAAACTGCCAGAAACACAGTTTTCGTACTAGCTTTGTGCCTTTCGCTCGAGACCTTCCAGAAATCCAATCCTTCATCCAATTCCTTACCTTTCTATACAAACATACCTATTTTTATGTTGTGGAAGCCTTTGGACTCGAATCAGATCCATGCTCCTCGAATTGAGCTCCAAAGTAGGCTTCACAAAACAGTTTTCTAGCAGTTTTCAGCTTTCCAGATAGCATCTTTGGACGTCTGGAAAATGACCTTCTGGACGTCTTCTTGAGCTACCAAGCATACCATCATGTAGATAATCTTATTATCTTCAAAACAAGCTATCAAACGCAAATTTTCATTGAGCCAATTGTGAGCAGCCTAGTTATTCTGCTAACGGCATAAGTTGTTAATATATACTAACTAATATCCAAAATGTATGAACTAGTACCCAAGTCTGCTGATATTACTAAAGTATCAAGATAGCACAGACTAGTATTCAAAACATCACAAACTAGTATCCAGATAATAGATACCAACTAATATCCACAATCAACCAACTAGTATTCAATATTGATACTCTTATGTGTTATCTGGATACTAACTATGTGTTGTATGGAAACTATTTTGTGTTGTCTAGATATTAGTTTGTGAATTTGGGATAATAGTTGATTCATGGTGGATAATACTGGATATTAGTTAGCAAACCTTGAATACTAGTCTGTGTTCTCGAGATATTTTTGTACTTGGATACTAGTTCATGTATTTTGGATATCAGTTAGTATCTTCTAACGAATCTTCAAGTTAGCCTATTAACTTTCCCCATTGTGAGAACCAAGCCTCCAAAGTAGGCGACCTGAAACAGTTAAAAGTTAAAAACACTTAACCAAATTCTGCTCCTTTTCTTGCCAATTGAGATTTCTTCTTCATCAAGTAATTTTGGCTCGTTGATTAACCGATTTGGAATCATATCAGGCTCCCCCTCTTTAAAAAGCTTTGACCTTAAACCTTGATGCTGCTTCTTGTCAAACTCATCACAAAATCCCTTCCAAATCGGGTCACGAAAATGGTACCCTGAACTTGCAATTTCGAACTTCAAAACTTCGTTAGCTCGTGAATTTGCTGTTTCCCACAATTCGAGCTCCAATATATTGGTGGGAATCCAAAGGACCTTTCCCTTGCAAACAATTCACTCAATTGCACCCAAAACTCGCTGCGCAAATTTTTCAGTTTCCGGTAACAAAATCCCAGAATCCGGCGACTTCGAGTTTTCCAGCGAGACCTCCAAATTTGGGCGTTTCTCTTCTAGGCCACTTTGAGCCAATTCGTTGCTCACGTTCGACTCATCTCGAACCTAAGAATTGATTCGAGCTAATCCCTAGCGTCGAAAGTGTGTGAATCGCCTCCAATTAGGATTCCTCTGTTTCCCGCCGTAAGGAAATTTAAAATTTCCGGAATCCGGCAGCAATTTTCCAGAATCTGGCGACCAATTTCGAGATTTCGGCGACCCAATTGCACAATTAGGCGTTTTCGATTTCGGCTTCTCCGCAATAAATTGATCGATCCTAAAGCTTCCTTGGAGCTCCTAGAAGTTGTTTCACTCCTTCTCGATCGAATTGTGCCCAATCTCTTCAACCGATTCACACTTCTCGGCTTCATTGTTCTTCATGTTTAGGCCCGAATTTTGCGAATTGAGTGTTTCCTCCTCGACGTGATTCGACTCCAATTGAGCAAAGTACACCTTCCTGGCGTCTCAACGAACGTGTCATCCTCGGCCGTTTGCTCCGACTCGGCCCCGAGACTTCCAACCGATTCAATCTATTTCTTCCCCTGCATCACCATCGGAAAACATAGGTACTCCACCTAAATCAAAGTCATCATTTTGACTAGAATCGAGTCGATTCCCTCAATCAAATTCAATCTTGGGGCTACGACAATCGTCGTGAATTCATTGGGCTCGCTCGACTCTTCCCCCACGTCGATGCTCGATTCTTTCTCTCCGCTGCTCTGTCCTGCAATTGAGGAACACAGGGCCCCGTCTCTGCCAGGCCTTTTTACTGGGTCGACGTTCCACGACCACGTTTTCTTCAATAGGGCTTGCTGATATTCCTCTGAAGTTGGTGTAGCTCCTTCATATCATTGGCAGCCGCTTCCAGAGCCAAAGGGTTGACGACGAACACTTTGTTTCGACTCCAAATTCGAAACTTCTTGCTCCGTCGACATGCAAAACAAACTTGACAATCTCTGAACCATGGCTGTCCCAAGACTATGATGCTGGGAAGATGATAGACCACCTCACACAGAATTTGATACTCGTATAAGCCAATCGAGAATTTCACGGCCACCTGAGACACTACGATGTTGGATTTGTTTTCGTACGGTGATTGGAACACGTAGGGAGCTGGATGAGGCTGTGATTGTAATTCCAGCTTGCTCGTGACCCTGCAGGAAATCAAATCCCTATCCCTGCCTCCATCGATGAGCACCAAACCCAACTGATCATTGAGTAATCCTTATGTGAAGATCATCGATTTTGCTAGCTCTTCTGCCGCCATGTTGCTATGTTTTTGCGACTGAAATTTTGCAAAAAAACAGCCTCAATCAATCCTTCTCGCCACTAACTTGAACCTAAGGTTCTGATGCCACTAGCACCAGGGGGTGTGCTTTGTTATCAGAATTACGCAGCCAACCAAACAATAGAACGATAACAATGGAACGGTGGAATTCTCTCCACAACCGAGGTAATTACTCGATCGATAAGAGAGCTTGCCAAACGATTATGGAATCCACTCAGAATAGCTTCACAAGGTTCTTGAAATTAGCTACGGAATCCACTCGAAGCTAAAGACAATAGGCAAATTCTCGAGACACACTCAAGAACTCAAAAAACACTCACGTAGGAGCAATTTTCATTCAACACAACTTAGCTACTTTACAACGGTAATTGAGAGGTATTAAAAGCAAGAAAAACCTAATACAAACCTAATTGAGCAAGGAAACAAATAAGGTAAAAACAAGGCAAAATACACTTGTATAGACAAAACTTTCACATTTGTGCCACTTATAGCCACTTTTGGCGAAATACCACTAATAGCCACTTCCGTCCAATTCTTTAACAGTGTTAACGTTAAAGTTTGACTGGACAAACAGAAATGCTGACGTGGCGAGCTCTTATTTCCATTTTCCTCTATAATTATCCACGTGGATAATGGTTAATTAAAAAAACAATAATGGACCGAAAATTAAAAATCCCTGACCCTTCCTTCCCTTATCTTCATCTTCTTCAAAATGTACAACAACATTTATCCGATCTAGAAATTTCCCCTCTGTTTCTCATCCATTTGACTTTTGATCCGAGTCCAGTCGAGAAACTCTCTAATATCGATGGGAGTCTCGGAAGAAGGGCTTCGCAAGTGAAGGAGGAAAAGGGGTTTATTCTTCGGAATTGGGCGCCTCTCCGCTAGCTTCTTTCTCAGTCGCCTTTTCTCCTTCTCTTCTATCTCGACTAGGAGCGACCAAGACAACGGCCTGTGGCGATGGTAGATGGCGAGAGCTTTGCTGGGAGTGGTTCTGCGGGAATAGGCTTGCAATGATGGTGGTGAAGTCGGGGGAGAACAACGAATCGATGTCCTCGAGGCTGTTGTTAACGATGATATTGCCGACACGGACAATGGCAGGGAAAACTCGGCGGCTAGAGGGTGACGGTAGCTGCGATAGGTGAATCCACCATCGCTACTCTGCTGCGAACCCGCGGCGGGAGCTCGAATCGACGATTGACGGCGCCTTCTTCTCTGGTTCTGGTGAAGCAGAGGTAGATGGGGGTGGCAACTGGGCGACTTGGAAGACTCGAAGGCGAACGAGATTGAAGCCGCGGGGAAGATGTAGCGAACTTGGTTGCTCAGCTTCTTCCCATCCTTCCTCCCTGCGAAGCGTCGATAGCGTCGGGGAACGAGAACCAAAGGCGGAGTTGATGCTTGAATCGAGAGAGGAAGAAGCTCTCTCTAGCACCAAATAGATCCAGATTCTGGGTGGTCGATTCAACCCTAGATTGAGAAGATGTCGATTGGGAAGCTTCAAAATTGGCGAGAAATTTTGGGGGAAAGCTTCAATCGCCGATTTTTTGTTATTTGCGGGAATTTTGGGTAGGAATCGTCGATTCAATCGCCAACAGGCAGGGAGCAAACCCTAAAAACGAAATTGGGGGAGGAAAAAATTTAATTTTTTTCTTGTTTATTTTGTGTAAATAATAAATAATTTAAATATCTGACGTGTCACTATTTGCTTAGTTGTCGCTGACGTGTCCGCTGAATTGGCGTCTCGTCAGCCGACCGTCAAATAAGTTGACGGTGTTATTAACACCGTTATAGTTTCTAACGGAAATGGCTATATCTGGCACGCAACATCTTTCAAAAGTGGCTATTATTGGTATTTCGCCAAAAGTGGCTATAGGTGGCACAAAGGTGATAGTTTTGACTATGCAAGTGTATTTTGCCTAAAAACAAACCCTAAAAAGAACAAATTCCGCCACAAACTCTCTTTCTTCAAGCACAAGTAAACGGCCTTTTAGCACAAGCAAACTGCCAGAAACACAGTTTTCGTACTAACTTTGTGCCTTTCGTTCGAGGCCTTCTAGAACTCCAATCCTTCATCCAATTCCTTCCCTTTGTATACAAACATACATAATTTCATGTGGAAGCCTTTGGACTCGAATCAGATCCATACTCCTCGAATTGAGCTCTAAAATAGGCTTCACAAAACAATTAAAACACTTGACCAAATTCTGCCCCTTTTCTTATTAATTGAGATTGCTTTTCGTCAAATAATTTTGACTCGTTGATTAACCGATTTGGAATCATATAAGTAGTCTTCTTGAATCTCCTTTTTAATTTATTGAGAGCAAAACGTTATTATTTCTTGAGCACAGTTCAACAAACTCCATAACACTTTACTTACCGAACACAAACAAAAGCAGCAAGGAACTTGAAGCCTACATAACTCCTCTTTCTCTCTTAAGCTTTTCTACAAACATCTCCTTCACAAACCCATCCTTCCTTCCCCTCTCCCCCTTCTTCTTTTCCATCTTCACTGATCTCCTCTTCATTAAGAGCACATTTGGGATGGACATCAAAATCACAAGGTTTGCAGCTGTACGACCAAGCACCTCCCATCTCCTCGCAACCATTGCACATGTACAGTTTCCCTTTCTTCCGCACAAGCTCATGCTCATGAAGTTGTTCGAGCCTCACTTTCTCCGGCCACCAATTCGCTTTCTCATCCAATTTGTGCTCGAGCTGCTCCAGATGTTCTTCAGTGAAAGGATAGGCATCCACTCCATGAAGTGCAAAGGCATCTCTGGCTTCCATTGTCGATGTCCTGCCACTCGGCCCAATCGCCACGACAGCAGGAATGCCTGATATCTTGAACTTCTTAGTCATAATGGTCTTGATCTCGGGGTCGAATGGAACAGCTAGCCAAGGCATTGTTGAGAAGTACTCGTCGAACGAGGTTTGATCGCGGTCGCTGGAGATGAATACCACTTCAAAGTTGTTGTCTATTGCCTTGAATTCAGGGTATGATGCAACAAGCTTGGGGGTAAATTTGCGGCAAGGAGGACACCAGTGAGCTGAGAAGTATAGAAGAATGTTCTTCCCAACAAGTTCAGAAACTGGAACCTGTCCAATCAAAACACAAAGTCAATTATGAGAAGTTTAATCAAGGTTTCTGTTAATACATGTCATGTGTGAATTAGACTATAGATTCACCTTCGAACCACTCGAATCAATAACAAAATCGGTATCCCCATGAACCAAAATCGACTCCAGCGTCTGCGATTCGAAGCTTGCCTTCTTGATCTCATCAAATGCAGCAAGCTTCTCCGGGCTAAAAGGGTAGGCTTCGATACCAAAGTCTTCGACGAGCTCAGCAACATTCGGGTTCATTGTTTTCCCATCCGGTCCGATTAGAATCACCGAGGGAATTGTTCTGAACTGAAAGTAGTCCAGTAGCTTGCTGCAGGTTTTGTCCTTGAATGGCACAGCCAGCCATGGCATTGCCTCGAAAGACTTCTGAAAGGCCTCCTCGCTGGAGTCGAACGATACAAGAACAACCTCAAATTCCTCTCCTTTCCCCTTCACTTGCTTGTAGAAGTCCACTAGTTTAGGAGTGAATTCAGCACATGATGAGACGGCATGAATTGATATGTACAGGCAGACCATTTTCCCTTCAAGATCAATCACAGCAGTCTGCCAAAAGTCCCATAAACAGTAAAGAGCTGTAATGAGTTACGAATGTCAAGAAACAGTTGATTCCAATAATTCGAGGTTTTGGGTGAGGTTCAATTATGGATCATATATCATTTACTAACAACGAAATCGAAAAGATTGCAGAAGACAACCACAAAACAGCAACAACTGGAATCCGTACCTTGGTTCCATCATTAGATATGAGATAATCGCGAGTGGGAGAGACCAACAAAGAGCTCAGAGTCTGATTCTTCTTAGCATTCTCCTGCTCCTCAATCAGGAGATTGAGCTTCTCCTCGGTAAAGGGATAGCCTGCAGCTCCATACTTCTGCACAACCTTGACTCCTCGGCTACAAGAAACGTTTCCTTGTGTGTCAAGAATGACGAGGTGAGGGGTAGACTTGACTTTGAACAGCTCCATGAGGCTGGCACGAGCATCTGAATCGGAAAATGGAACGGCAAGCCATGGCATCTTGGAGAAAAGTTCCTTGAACAGTTCCTCATCTTCGTCGGAGGAAATCAAAACCACTTCGAAACCGCTATTGGAGGAGAGCTCTTGATGGGTTTCCAACAAGAGCGGGAGGAACCTTTGAGAGGGTCCGCAGCCAGAGGCAGAGAAGTACAATCCCAAAGTCTTCCCACTTAAAGTACCGATTTTGACCTGTACCCACATCAGAAAATCAGATATCAGAAACTGGGTAAACTACGATTAAAGGGAAACAAGCATATAATTTACCTGGTCGCCATTGCTGCGAATGAGAAAATCCCTGTCTTTTGCAGAGAGGAAGGAGAACAAGCAATCAGAGTCCTGCCGGCTTCCCATTTTGTGTCTGTTGCGGAGGATTCGCTTCGTTCTGCAGACTATGTAGCTGTAGAAATATTACCCGGTAACAGTAGTTGACGACGATTATACCTAAAATATAATGATCACAATTCACAACTGTGAACTATAACGACAGCAACCTATTTTCTTTGCTTTCTATGTCGTTTTGTCCAACGTATTTCATTATTAGTTCTAATCCTGTGTTTCTTTCTTTTCTTTTGTTGTATTTATCCCTATGGCCCTAGGATTTATCATGTGTATCTATTATCCCTACCTTTATCAGCAGGACATGGACGGTTTGATACCTGGTCCTTCGTCAGCATCTAGAAATGGAGATGAAGTTTTCTTAATAACTGTGGCTAATGCGTAACAGAAGATGACAAGAACCTTCTGACAGCTGATTCTCGGCCGCATCCTTGAATCCTCGTCATGTCGCTGGGCTTCAAGCTATTGGAGAAGACGGCTCATTGTAGACAAGACGAATACCAACGGACAGCCCAAAGTAAGGCAACCATTGGAGGTGCCGATTGTGCTATATTTTTATTTAGGATGATGTCCGGTTATTCGCTTAGCGGTTATATGGCTAAACTAACTAGTAATCGACGGTTTTCAGTGTAATTGATATCTTTTTTTAGAAAATGGAGTGCTTAAAGGGTGCCCCAATCTTTATGCATTAACTAAACGGGGTGTGGAAACTCCCACCCGATCAAAGTACATCCAATAGAGTAGAGTGCTGCTTGGTACATAAAAAATATGCATCCTAGTAGAGTAGTGTAATGGATAATTGAATAGTCGTTAATGATTAACCAACAACTAACCGTATATAAATATTTATATTTCTCTCCCCCTCCCTCCAAAATGGCTATGTTTCTCTGCCTCGACATACGTTTCCGCTCTTCCTGAAAAAGTTGATGACCCTCGTACATCAACCTCAAATATTCATGGCACTGGTCGCTGTTCTTTAGCATATTTGACGGTCTCGTAACTGGATTGTCTTTGAGGGCAAACAGCTCGGGATTCCAGTGTTAATGCGGCAATTCCACCAACAATATCATGAGTGGGTTACCTTGCCAGTTGACCGCCTTTCCCAATCCTTCGTCCCTCAAGTGAGTCACGATAGTGGTGGGAGCCCTAATACGTTGGTTTGCATGTGGGATGAGGCTATCAGGAGTGGGTCTCATTCAACTGACGACATAATTATCAAAGACCGTGGGGGTGTGATCCTCTTGGTCAAAGGAGTGCAGTTTGATGCTATTGATGACCTAATGGTTGTTGAGCTCCTCGTTCTCCAAGTTGCGATTCTCTGGTGTATATAGAATGGATTTATGAAGGCAAGTTTAGAAGGAGATGTTGAAGTGATCATCAGTGACGGACCCAGAATTCTTTGATAGGTGTATCGGCCGACAAAAAATAATTAATAAATTAAATTTATTAAATAAAAAATAAAATAAATTTTAATTCCTTAAGGTCACAATTTATTACTTTTCCCAGTGACACACAAAAACTTTTCATATTCAGAAAGGTTTGTAAAATATATTTGTCATATGGCGCAATCAAACTTTTTTCGACGTACGAAACTAAACATTCATTCATAAAACTGATTTTGAAGTTCGCTCTTGATTAACTCCATAACATAAAAAGCTCTTTTGCAACTTGAAGTTGCAATATATAGTATAAACACTAACTTTATATGAGGAAGCTAAAATGGAAAGCAGGAAGGCTGACGACATGCGTTAACGTAAAAGTTTGAAGGAAATGAGGTTCAGCTGACGGTCACTGGCAATTAGAGAGTGGAACGGAGGACAGAGAACTATGAGCTAGGGGTTGTGGATTTTTTCCTCTCCACACTCAATGTACAAATAGAGAAACATAGGAAGAAATGTTAATAAAGAAATATGCTTATTTTTCGGTGTAAGTAGGGAGATATATTTTATATTTTTTTAATAAAAAAGGGAAAGTGGAATGAATAGGGGTAAAGACAACACTGGATTTTATGAAGGATAAGTGGGGGTGGTTTGTGAGACTTTTCAAATTCAATAAATAATAATTAATTTTGTCATAAGTTAACTAAAAAATAAAATATATATTTAGATACTTTGGTACCTAAATGCTATTAAATTCAATGTAGTATATTAAAGGTATGTCGATTGTAATTATTTGAGGCATGGCATAAATGCCGAATTCCAAAAATTTGTACCGACAACACATGAGTTTCTCACAAAATTTCCGAGCGAAGGTGTGTCAGCTGACACAACTTGCTAATGCATGGGCCCGCCCCTGGACCCTGGTGATCATTGATAAAATCAATCAGGTAGATACTCGTGATAATCGAGTAGGGGCCATCATTGAGGAAGTCATGTGCTATTTAGCTATGCACACTGGGTTTAATGTGTGATTTGTACATCGGAGTAGTAATAGGGTAGCCCATTGGGTGCCTAAAAAGGCCCTTTCATTGTACCCGACTACGTGTCGTTTCTTTGATTTTTTTGCCTGGTTAAATTATAGAATGTAATATTTTTGTTTGAATCAATATATATGATATCTTTTGTAAAACAAAAGGCTATGTCCTGACCAAACAAACTATCTCCTCCCAACCCCAACTCACTTTTTCTTTCCAGAATCTTCTCCTAGTGTGAGCCCTAAAATTTAAAGGGGCAAAGAATGTCGTTGATTTTGCCATTGAAATGTAGACATCAAGATTGGATAGGGAAGGTCGAATTTCAAAGATTGCAAAGGGGCAAATGGAGGAAGGATTGCAAAGACCGCCGCTCCAATTTCTTCCATCAATGACTTTCATCACTTAGTTCATGCTCATCAAGCTTCTCCTTCCTCTCCTCAGTTTCTTCTTTCAGTCCCAATAGGAACAACAATTAAAACCTAAATCAATTATACATATTTTAAAAATATACAAAATGCGCATAGGAATAAAAGAGGGAGAGCTTTTGTTGGCTCAGTTACCGATTGCTTATTTTGGTCTAATCTTTGCTCGGGGTGGATCATGGTCGGTTTTGGTCTAACCGAAAACCAAAACTTTTCTTATCGGTTAGCCTAAACAAGCCCAATTTTCCACTGATAGTGTACCGAAGGAGACCTTCGGTTAACCGGCCAACCGACCAAGTGGTTTTCGATTTTTGTTTCGGTTAGCCACGAAACCGAAAGAAGATGGTGTTTTTTGTTTATACTGGGTAACCGACCGCTAGTCGAGTACCAATCCTCCAATAATATATGGTAGAGTTTTGTGAACTTTTCTCCATTTCAAATTTCCTGCAACGAGAGTGAAAGTAGGAAGGACATTTTTGTCTTCACAACTAATTATTAATCTAAAAAAAATAATGATATGAGGATTCGAACCCGAGTCTCTTAAAACGAAGACAACAATCACAACCAATTACACTAAACAAATTTGTTGTATCTTTTCGAGTACAAAACATACACAAAGTTAAACTCTGAAAATTGGATGAATTTATCATCATGATTACCAAGCCCACTAAGTCTACCGTATGTATCTTTATGGTGCTTGATACTTCAGTTACATAGTAGAGTTTCATGTAATTAACCAATTACACTAAAAAAATTTGTTGTATCTTTTCGAGTACAAAACATACACAAAGTTAAACTCTGGAAATTGGATGAATTTTTCATCATGATTACCAAGCCCACTAAATCTACCGTATGTATTTTTATGGTGCTTGATACTTCAGTTTCATAGTAGAGTTTCATGTAATTTTCTCAATTTTAAATTTTTTGCTCTCACCTTAATTGTTTGCTAAAGGTAGATTGGTAATTGGATACCATAGAAGAAACTAATTATGTTACTGCGTGTTGTGTCCTTGAAATTTTCAATTTAAATTTAAATTTAGTGCTTTTTTATCTTTGTTCTTTATATATTCTTTCTTTATGTATCATCTCGATCGAAAAGTGTCAATAAAATTAAACAGGATGATAGACTTAAATGTAATATAAAAAATACAAATAATCAAATATGAACATTCCGGCTAACGGGTCGGGTTATAAGCTAGTTATAAAAATTGCCAACAAAAAAGAATTAAATTACACGTTTGGTCACTCGAATTATACAAATCTTTCACGTTTGCCACTCAAATTATTTTTCTTTCTTATTCGCCACTAACTTTACGAATCGTTTCACCGTTAGTCACTGGCCGTTACACTCCGTTAAATTTGTCCTACGTGACAGTCAACTATAAAGTTTGACCGTTAACTAGATGACGTGGAAATTAAAAAAAATAAAAATTAATTTATTTGTCCAGCTCATCATTCCACATTTTCACTTATTTTTTTACATTATTTATCATGTAATAAAAATTAATTAAACTACAAAAATAATTAATATGATTAATTTATCTCTACTAGTCAAGATCCAACGGACGAGATTGCCGTGTACACAGCCGCCGATCTCGATCCATCTTTGGTGCCGTTCATCCTCTTCTACCCAGCCACCGGACCATCTAAGTCAGAGAAACAAAATCGAGAAGAATCAACTGGGGATTCTTAAACAACATTATTTGTCCAAATAGTTTACAACAAGATTGAACAAAGTTGGCTCGATGCTTCCGGGCAATCAGCAATTGAGAAATTCCACAGCCAAACTAAACCTCAACGAATGGCGAAAGCGAAAAGGAAAATGAGAACTATAGCTCGTTTGGTTTAGTCTGTCGACATTTTCATTATCCCGGGAACCAAATAGGCAGAAGATATAGGAAAAAAGGCGGGGAAACGAAAGAGAGGTCTAGATATCTTCGAATCTTGCCGGAACAGAGCTCGAGCGAGTGGAGATGGAGCGGAAGAGGGGAACAGAGACGCCGACGAGCAAGGGAATGAGGAAGGCCGACGAGCGAGGCTTGACAGAGATCTGTTTATAGATGAGGTGGCAGCTAGATTGTGAGCGTACGCACTGCCGCCGACGCCTTTTTTGTCTCCCCTAGTGATCGACGATGGCCCAGAGTTTCATGAAATCAAAGAAAGTGTGAGCGTCGACGATCTTGTGCAAGAGACAAGCCCCGATGGCGACGCCGCCAAGGAGGAAGACGGTGGCTTTGAATGCGATATGCGGTGCCGATTTGACGATCGACGTTTGGCGGATGAGGAAGGAAGGGAAGGGGAGGAACTGGTGGAGCGAGTCGAGTTGGGGTTGCTTACTAAGAAACAGAGTAATGGACATGGACGGGTACTCAACGGATGAGAACGGAACACCCTCATCGTTGCAACACGATGGGAAGCGAGTCGGCCGGCTGTAGATTTGGACAACCTTCCGGCCGGCGGGTAGAAGCGGGTGAGTGCCTTGGGGAGTAACCATTTTAGGGTGTCCATGTTAGATAAATTAAGTCGCGAACACTCACGTGATGGTTTAAGCAAGTACATTATCGTTTTGAGTCAAATTGTCAGGTAAGGGTCGAGAAATTGGAGAGTTGTTAGGAGTCTGTTAATGTTAGTGGGTAGCTAGAATGAAGGGATGTGAATTAGAGGGCCGGAAGGGAAGGGAAAGGATGAGTTACGAGGGCTGTATATATTGTTCTTTGTTGCTTCTAATAAAACTGTCATTTTGCTGTCAATTGCTTTGAACAGTCCAGTGTTGTCTCTCCTCCTGGTTTCGATGGTCCGGTGGCGGGTAGAAGATGATGAATGGCACCAAAGATGGACCGAGATCGGCGACTGTACAACGGCAATCTCGTCCGCAGAGAATAAATTAATCATATTAATTATTTTTGTATTTTAATTAATTTTTATCAAATAAATAATATGATAAAATATATACACAAAGTAAGTGAAAATGTGGAATATGATGTGGACCGATAAATTAATTTTTTATTTAATTTCCACGTCATCTAGTTAACGGTCAAACTTTATAGTTGACTGCCACGTAGGACAAATTTAACGGAGTGTAACGGCCGGTGACTAACGGTGAAACGATTCGTAAAATTAGTGGCGAATAAGAAAGAAAAGTAATTTGGGTGGCAAACGTGAAAGATTTGTGTAATTCGAGTGACCAAATGTGTAATTTAGCCAACAAAAAAGTGTCTGGCACAATAAATGATTAAATGGCATGTACAAATCGCACGAGGAAATTTTAGCGAAAAAATGACTTTCCGGCCAAAAATAAGTCCGGCGGTGGGATTTGAAAGTAATTAGTTAATAATTAATTAATTGCAGGGTCTCTAAGGATTATTTTTGGTGGTTACGAAAATCATGAAGGAAAAATCTCGGATTCCGATATGGCTAGAGAGACGTGGGGTAAATCCATTATTTAATAACTAATTGGAGCATTCCCAATTAAAGAGTTCTGAAAATAAATATTCGAGGGCCAGGTTCAGGTCCTGAAGTCTACTAACTTAAGAATTATCTTAAGTCATTTCTATTGGTTGATAATAATTTAGGTAGTTAATAGATTGTTAGTAGTTAATTGGTGGTTAGAGGTAATTAAGGTAATAATAACTAATTAATTAATTAAAATATTAAAAAACTAACAATCACAGTCGCACTCATCTGTTACCTCCCTAAGCCCTATTAAATAGCGTCCTTGTCAAGCGTGTCAAAACGCAAAATCCCACATATTCGTCTCCGCAAGCTTTTCATCACCGGCAGTGGTCTTCCTTCGGCTGCCACTCCGATACTTTAGGTAACCACCACCAGGCAAGATCCGGCCAATTCTCCTCCTCCTCGCGAGTTAACTCTCTTAGTGTTCATGGATATTTTCTCATTGGAGGTGTTGGTAATGGATACGGAATGTCGTCGTCGCTCATCTACGATGGAAGATATGGCGCTTAGGATATTGGTGGCTCCTATTCGGTGATATTTTGTTGCGTAATGCGTATGGTGTGAGGTATACGTTGAAAAATGATGAGAAATCCTTAATAATGTTATTGTAAAGCATTGATAAGTATATTGAAATCGTTAATAATGTTGGGTAAAAATTAATTTCATATACTCTAAGAATGACAATGTAAATCGATAATAATTGATCACAAAATGTTGGCAAAATTGCAAGTTTGGTCACTCGAATTGCTATAAAATTTCACGTTTGGTCACTCGAATTCGTTTATTCCATTCGTAGTCACTTAAATTAGTTGAACAATCCAAGTTAGGTCACTCTCCGTTAGACTCCGTTAGTGCCGTCAGTTAACTGCTGACGTGGCTAACAGAGATGCCTAGTCATCCAATTTTAACCCAAAAAAAAGCATAAATAGACCCGCCACGTCAGAAAAACCTGCCACCTCATATAAACACAACCCAACCCACCCAACCTAAAAAAAACTCATTAACCCACACCAAAACCCCTTCCGACCATCCCTATTGTATCCCTGATTACCCTTCTCCTATTCCTCCTCTGCCTTCTTCTTATACTCTGCCTTTCGCCTCTCTCTCTCTCTCTCTCTCTCTCTCTCTCTCTCTCTATCTCTCTCTTCTGCCATGGCTCTGTTTCCTCCATCTCCCTCCTCATCTTCTCTCAAGTGAACTCCGACATGAGATTGATTCATGGAAGAAGCTAAACAAGTTGAATCTCGACCGAGGATCCTCGTCGGGATTACTTTGAGGTTTCCAGACAAAGCTCTCCAAACCAAAACGCTTACCAGGGCAAGAGGGCTTCCGCCGAAGTAAGGTCCAGGAGGTGCCCATCAATGCCATCGCCCAACCCGTCATCGCAGAATCACCACTTTCAGATCTCCAGTTCATCGCCCTATTCGATCAACAAGGCTGGTCATCTTCTTCTCCACTGCTCAACAAGATGCAGGGAAGATTGACGATGGCGAGGAAGAATTAGGACCTTGTCATTGTCGAGGAGGGAGTTGACGAAAGCGCTTTGCTACACTTCCACCATTGATCGGAGAGGGGAGTGAATCGGCAAGGAGATTGGAGAGGGGAAGGGATCACCCTTTTTCGTTTCTCCTTGCTCAGTGAGAGGGGGGGAGGGGAGTTGAATCGTCAAGGAGAAAAGAATCGGGAGCAGAGCCGGCGACCATTAGCCCCACCGCGAGCCCCGCCTTCTTCCTGCTGCTCATCCTGGACGAATCTCCGAACTCGTTGTCCTCCGTCGCCATCGTGTTGCCACTCTTGTTCCCGTTCACCACTTCCACTGGAGCAGGCGCCAGGGTGTTTTCATCTGATGGAGTCGGAGCCTCGGGCAAGGAATTTGTCTCGAATCTGGATCCGGCAGCGAGGGCTGCAGCAGGGAGATCGAGGGGAAATCCTTGGCGGCGGCGGAAGCAGGGTATAGAGGAAGAAGAAGAAGGGTTGATGGGTCACAGGTTCGATTCGGTTCGGGTATCTTATGTGTCTGGGTTATAATAAAGTGACATATGATTTTTTTTAATGTTAAAATATGCTGACTGTGTCTTTCTGTTAGCCACGTCATCACTTAACGGTCGTCACTAACGGAGTCTAATGGAGAGTGACCAAACTTGGACTGTTCAACTAATTCGAGTGACTATAAATGGAATAAATCAATTTGAGTGGCAAACGTGAAATTTTAAAGCAATTCGAGTGATCAAACTGGCAATTAAGCCCAAAATGTTAATGATATCATTAGAAGTCATTTTAAGAGGTCATGATTGACTAGTTATGGACATGATGTGAAAACATGAATCATTAATAAAGATATTGTAAATCAAATATAATGTTATTCAAATCGTTAATAACGATGTGACATAACTTTAATCATTAATTCTTAAGCGTTGATCATAAAAATATTTATCGTTAATGGTCTAATGTTATTTTTTAATGTTGAAGCCAATTATTCTTAACATTTTTGTTTTAATTTTGGAACATAATACAATATTATTTTGAACGTTTTTAATGACATATGATACTTAACATTGAATTTGGTTATTATTAATAATTTTGTGTTGGTTTTCAACGAAATTCAATTTTATTTTCAATGACATGCTTATTCATTATTAACACTTTTCATTACATGTATTAACAGTTTGATGTCATTTTTAATTGTAATATATCATTGTTAATATTTTTGCTTTAGTTTTGAACGTAATATAACAATCTATGTACTTTTTGGCTGGTATTTGATACTTAACACTGAGTCTAAACATTATATTTTTGTGCTTGTTTTCAACAAAATACAATTTTGCTATCATTGATCGATGAGATCGATAATGTAGACCGATATCAGTTGATTGCAAAACGTCAACAATGTCATTGAAAGTTGTAATAAGAGGCAATGATTGGCTAGTTATGAACATGACATGAAAACATGAATCGTAATAAAGATGATGTAAATCTATGATAACTTTGTTTAACCCTTTAATGACAATGTGACATAACTTTAATAATTCTTTGATAATTGTTGATGATCGAAATGTATATCGTTAGTAGTTGAACTAAAATAGTAATAGTGTAATTGTAAAACATTGACAAGTATATTAAAAATGTTAATAATGATGAGATATATAAATAACAATTCATCTCATAAACATTGATAATGAAATTGCAAATGTCAATCATGTCATTGTAAGTTGGTAGTAGGCATTTTGAATTTAAAATCTCCTTTTTTTATACGTAAAATATTACTTAGAATTTCCATTTTAAATCCGAATTTTATTAACTATAAATAATGATATAATTCATATTTACCCCTTTAGGTGGTTAGACCTCAATTTTTCTCTCCTTCTCCTATTGGCCAATACAAACTTAAGAAACTCCTTAAGTTTGAGGCTTAAGGACGGGATCCAACCTGAATCTTCGAGCAGCGCCCTCCTCCTGTCTTTCAGATTGCTAATGTGGTCGGTGGAAGTCATAGGTACCTTTCTATACTTTGTATCTGGAGTACTTTATTTAATTTCCTCTACAGTATTGGGCTTTGGCGATATTTATCATGCACTACAAAATAATTAGTTTTTCCTTCCCTAATTAACGTAACTAAAAAATAATTTGGTAATAAATATTTATTAATTAACTTCCCTAATTAATATTCATATGTCAACCCTATTAATTAACTTCCCTTATTTATTAATTAACTGACGTTTTGGGCTTTGGCAGAATTGGGGGAGAGGGGGGGGGGGGATTTCGGTTAGCTTAACCGCGGTTACTCGACTAACGGAAGCATACCATTCTCCTTTCGTCAATCGACCGACATAAGGGCAAATCAGTTTCTAGTTAGCGGTTAACTGTCGGTTGGCTAATCTAAAATCGATTTGCCAAATCACTTGATAAGCAATTAATCGATTAAACGACATAATAACCGATAACTAACTATATAATTATGATTAATTGACTAATATAAACGTCGAAGTTAACGGGAAACAAAACTTTATTGTCCTCTTTAACGTCAAAGTAACGAAAACTTTGACAGAAGGATACATTCGTTGCGCTATTATTCTTGACGGACATGAAGGTAAAAAACATAATAGAGAAATACTTTTGTTAATATATAATTGTACCGGACTACAAAATGCTATTAAGCCATGGTAAACTATTCAAACATGCAGCTAATTAACTTACCAACTAGCTACTTGTACGTATATACTTAAGTATTCAGAGTGTTGGAGGAGGCATATACGGAATTCCTTTCCTTTTTGCTGAGCAAAGAAACGTGGAAAATAAAGAAATATTTAGTAATGGCACACATGTATCACACAACTTGGATGAATACTAATGGTTGCAACTTGCAAGAAGTTGTTCTTTTTTTTTCAATGATTCACAGAAAGAAAATGACTAAGCTACATTATAAATACCCATACTTAAATTAATCCACTATAACTTGAGTTAATAAACAACTAGAGTGAGTGGCCATTAGTTCAGCAAAAGCTATGGAGGGAAGCCAAGGAGCTAAATTACCACATTTCCTGCTACTACCATACCCAATCCAAGGCCACATAACCCCCATGGTCAAGCTTGCTCACAAGCTCCTCCGCCATGGAAGCAGAGTCACCTTCCTCACTACAGAGTTCGCCCACTCGCGGATGAAGAAGGCGGCTTCGGGTCGTGACCACACGCACCACCGCAATTTCAGGATATTGTCGGTCTCCGACGGACTTCCTGCACAACATGAACGCAAAGACGAGATTGAAGTCGGGCAGAGTTTCTCCAGAGCAATGCCTGCTCACTTACATGCCTTTCTCAGCAGCAGCAGCAGTAATAATAAGGTCATTAATCAGGAGGAGATAATCAGTTGTGTCGTGGCTGATTCTGTTATGTTATGGGCGGTGGAGATTAGTAAGAGATTTGGGATCAAGACTGCTGTGCTCTTTGTTTCTTCTCCTGGGAACCTGTCCATGGTGCTCCAAATACCTAAGCTCATTCAAGCTGGAATCATTGACCCTGAAAACGGTAATTATACCACACGTTTGAAGTTGTTCTTTTATTTTGCAAACATATGTTATCAACGATCGAATTCACAACTTGCTCGCTCGCCGCATGCAGGCAGTCCGAGAAAAGCAGAGGAAATGGAAATATCTCCAAACCTGCCCAAACTAAGGAGCCGGGATTACACGTGGAACATCCCAGGAGACGACGAATTAATGAAAAAGATGGTCTTCTACGCCATGACCCTCGTCAACCGCAGCCTACGGGCCGCTGACTGGGTCCTATGCAACTGGTTCTCCCAACTCGACCCTTCGGCCCACGCTTTGCTACCAGGCCCAACCACCCTCCTCCCTGTAGGCCCATTGCTAATGCTCTCGGGCGAGACTTCCCAAGGAGGAAACCTCTGGGCCGAGGACTCCACCTGCCTATCGTGGCTCGATGCGCACCCACCCGGTTCAGTCGTCTACGTCGCATTCGGCAGCACAACCAAGTTCAACCGAGCCCAGGCCCAGGAGCTAGCCATGGGCCTTGAGCTCTTGGCCCGGCCATTCCTCTGGGTTGTCCGGCCAGGCCTGATCGAGGACGACAACGATGGAGGTGGGTTCATGAACAGCAAGATGGGAAAGGTGGTGGGATGGGCGCCTCAGGAGAGAGTTCTGGACCACCCTTCGGTGGCTTGTTTCTTGACCCACAGCGGCTGGAACTCTGTCGTGGAAGGGATCGGCTTCGGGGTTCCGCTGCTTTGCTTGCCGTATCGCGGGGATCACTTCTACATAAGGACTTGTGTTTGTGAAGGGTGGAAAGTGGGGATGGAGCTGAATCCGGATGACGGTGGGATTGTGACGAGGGATGAAGTCAAGAGAAAAGTTGAGGATTTGTTGCGTGATGATGAAATCAAGGCTAGTGCGTTGATGTGGAAAGAGTTGGCTCAAGCTAGTGCCACGGAAGGAGGGCTTTCAGATCAAATATTGGCGGATTTTGTCTGTAAGATGACGACAGTATGATACGCTCTGTACCAGATAAAATATTAAATACTTAATTATATAATTATATAAATCTATATATGTGTTGCAAGGCAAGCTTTGTAGCTACTTTCTTTCAGCTGCTACTATTTTTTTTTAATAGGCAATCAATCACCTTTAATTAGCACATAGTGGTGACTCCATTAGAGTCTCACATCTAAAGAGGTTACAAGTTAATGTGAAACTACATCAGCACAAGTACCTAAACTGAAATTTGCCAACAATTGTGAAACTGTAGCAGCACAAACATACCTATATATCAACTTCTACAGACAATGTACACTACTACAATCTACAACCAAATTTACATTGTGTTCTCTGGCTAACAAAACCAATCCGGTGAGTTTTCTTAACACTTCCGAAGCTGGTAAATCATCTTCACCATTCAATCTTCTACACCACTCTCTCCATATAAGATTGATTGAGGTTCCACAACCCTCCTTTCATTAGCATAGTCCATATATGTCTGGTGATACAAGTCACGTTCCATATCCTTAGATATTTGATCCCTTTGTCTCCTTCTTCTTTAGGGATAGCTAGATGTTCTCATGCCACTACTTGGCCCACAAGCAACCCATTGCAAGTGGAAAAGTAGTGGTGGCTCAACATCATTACCCACTGTTGTTTGCCCTAATCCCTCAAGGAAACTTCTTGAAGAAGCTAATTCATCCACAAGTCGAAGGAATTTAAGTTCAAGTCGGATAAGCAAGATTTGGCCTACTTTAAGGGGGGAAATACTAGAAACCTCCCTTATGTAACTAGTATAAATAGGAGGCTAGCCTAGAGATTTAGACAAGATATACACCATTACCATCACTCTCGCCTAGGGGCACGAGTAGCGATCCATAGAGAGGAGGAGAATTTATGCTGAGATTTGGAGGAGAAGCATTCACCATCGATGCCTGTATCTATGGTGATGTTGTTCCACTCTTCTTTGTGTTGCTAGTCAATCTGTTTAGGGATATGAATTCTATTATGTTTATGCATTACTTTCTTTGAGTTTATAAGATGTTTATTTCCTTTTATATTATGATCATCGATGCCTCGCCGTCCGTTTCAAATTTGAATTTTCACAATTTCAAATTTGAAATTCAAATTTCGAAACACACGCCGACGGAGGGCAGGTGTGGGAGTCACGCGCCGCGGAAATGAGGAGAATAGGCGCATATCTCCCAAGAAGCATAAAGGGGGCGCACGACTTGGAACAGACTAGCCATGAAGAAAAGCAATGATCTAGGAGAATAAGAGCCTAAACCGAGAACCACGTTTAAATGAACACCATAGGAGGATAAGGTAAAGCAGCGCATGAAAAGGTGCTCAATGAGAGTGAGGGTATCTCCCAAGAAGTATAAAGGGGCGCATGGATTGGAACAGAGGCGCACGGGTTGGAATAGACTAACCATGAAGAGAAGCCCTGACCCAGGAGAATAAGCGCCTAAAATGAGAACCACGTCTAAATGAATACAATAGGGGACAAGGTAAAACATCACATGAAAAGGTTCTCAATGAGAGTGTGGGGCACCTAAGAGCATTTTTGCTTTCATAGTTAGGTGCTCACCATAAATCTGTGAGCACCTAATTAAGGGACAATTGTTGGGTCAAGATAGATAACTCAAGTAGGCCCAAGTCCATATGAAAGCCCAAGTTGGCATGGGCCAGGCTAGAGAACATTGCTATAAAAGGGTCCATAAAAGAAGGGCGCATGAGGACAAGTTAGTACGGCCAAGAGACCACCACAGACGCATGGCGACAAAAGAGGCATGAAGACAAGTTAGTATGGACGAAGAAGGTCGAGAGGCCGCCACGTAAGGGAAGTGGTCCCAGCTAGGCGCCCCGACAACAAAGCTGAGGAAGTGCCACGTACAGGCGCATGGTCGTTGAACCGTACCGAGTATTTAATGCCTTCCTGACGTAGGGCTGGATTCCAGGAGCTTGGTTGGAACCTCGACGGGTATAAATAGTGTTCGGTAGGTGGCATTAGGGATGGCAAAAATCCTCATACGCATAGGGTTTTAATTATCTAACCTTGTTGGGTTGGGTTTAGAGTACAAGTTAAATTCAAATGAGTAAAGTCAAATGGGTCAAAACCCACACCCACTATATTGGATCTAGTTGGGGTTTACCCATGGATTTGGGTAAAAGAATCCAAACCCAAATAATAAAAAATTCAAAATTCAAAATCGTCATTCCCTCTTCACTCCATCTCTGTCGAGACTCGAGACTCGACGGACGACACATTCTTTCCGAGCTCGATCTTTTTAGCCTACCCACCGTCGTTGGCCATCTATATCTTGGCGATCGGAGCGTAGAAGACAGTTGGAACGTCGGCAGCAGGCGTCATCGCCGCCCTCGTTATCCCCTCTGACCCACTGGATCGCACCCGCTCGACCAGTTAATTTTGTCAAAACCCACTCCCGCAGTCGATTCTAAACCCAGTTGATTCGCGAGAATCGCGACTCACCAGTCACCAGATATCTGGTCCCTCGGCTTCCCTTTCTTCAAGATCTAGCGCGATCCTTCGAACCCACTGTCTCCCGTTATCTCTTCAGAGAAGAGAGCGGAGCGATTCGAGGTGAAGGCTACGACTAGCGATAGGGAGAAGGTCTCAAGTTCCATCTCATTCTCCGCTGTATCCACTGTTGACGACTGGCCACCCGCCACCTCCATACCTAGAATCCCTGCTTCCACCTACTCTGGCAGTCGATCTATGACCAACCAGCTTCGGGTTTCTGTAACAGAGAAGCTAATCCACGTAATTGACTAATTGGGTCTTACTGATCATCTAATTTCTTGTTTGGCTTGTGGGTTTTGCTAATCGAGTTCTTCATGACCAAGTTTTCACCTGTTGAACTGCGGAGAAGCTTCAAGAGGAACTTTTTACCTCAGCAGGGATAGGAAGCACAAAAGTGGCAAAGGGAGGAGGGTCTATAGCTGGTTCTATCTGTGATTATACCTCAGCAGCTAATTCTATCACATAGGGAGGAAGCTCATCCAGGTACTGATTCTTATCAATTAGGCTATGATTTCTATTTGCTTTGAATTGTGTCTCATTAAACGGTTAGTTGGTGAATGATTGGGATCTTTGTTGTTTTCTATCACATAGATGTTCTCTCTTAATTGGTTGAATGATTGGGCTGTTTCACTAATTTGAATGATTGGTTATTGCTTGCTTGATTTTTCTAGGGAAATATGGCTTCAGAAACTAATGATGATAGTATATCAATGAATCATGAGAGTAGTAATCATGGCCAGCCTAGTGTGTCTTCTAGTCGTATGATATGGTCTTCTGAGATGATAGATTTTTCTTTTAGGAAAGTTGCAAGAAGATACATTGTTACTAAATGGTACTCTATTTCATATGCGATGTGCTGCACACATTCTCAATTTAATTGTGCAAGATGGGTTGTCTATCATTGAGAAATGAATTGGGAGGATTCAAGATAGTGTTGTGTATTGGACTTCATCTACTAAGAGAAGAAAAAATTTTAATGATGTGTTATGCATACTAACAAATATTGATTGTTCAAGAGAGTTGGTGCTTGATTGTAAAACTCGTTGAAACTCTATGTATCTCATGCTATCTACTACTTTTATATATAAGGACGTCTTTGATCTTTTGATTATTGGAGATCCACATTATGTGTGCTTTCCAAGCGAGGAGGAATGAGATATGGCATCTGAATTATGTTTGAATTTGAAACTGTTTCATGAAGCTACAAAGACATTTTCAGGAACTACTTACCCCACAACTAATACATATTTCCCTAAGGTTTGTAAGATCAAAATAGCTTTAAAGCAGTGGCAGTTGAGTCCAAATGTAACTATTGCAACCATGGCTGAAGAGATGTTGGTGTTGGATAAGTTCAATAGTTGTTGGGAGGTAATCCATGGTACATTGGCTATTGCATCTATATTGGATCCTAGGTTCAAGATGAAGTTGTTAGAGTGGGCCCTTCCACATATTTATGTTGGCACATATACCTTTGAGCTAAATAGGATCCGAAACTTTTGTTATGATCTTATGAGTGAGTACAAGCAGTGCAGTCAAAATCGCGCATTAAAACGTAAAAACTTACGTTTTTACGTATCCAGGCCACCAAAATGTTTCAGTTTCTACCTAAAATCGCTTAGTCACAAAACTGGTAAAAACATTGGTAAAATTGATAAAATCGGTAAAATCGTGATTCTGAAGCGTTTTTATATGATTTTGGTCATCTCATTAAAATGTGCTAATTGGCCAAAAATGATGTAATTTTGGAGACATATCAGCAAAAAAAAAAAAAAAAAAAGGAAAACATGATTCATCACTCTTTCTACAACTAGTGTCGAAATAGGGGCTTCACATTAGGTTGAAAAGACACCTAATGGTACTCTCAACAGCCACTGACCTTCTATCATTCTTCTCCCTTAATCTTTACATGTGGCTCTTTCCTAGGTTACGATGAAAGTTTATGGGTAATTGATCCTATGTAATTATGTAAACTCAAACCAGCTTATGAGAATTTTGATTCTCAAGCTCGTTTACGGGTTACAATCTATGTTTATGAGCTTATTATTAAGATGCTATGAGTTTTCTCTACTTTTCAGTCAACGCAAATTAGTTTATGGGTTAGATATTATATTTTAATTATGAATTTAATGTAGTTATCCACTTATCTAAAATTTACACACTCACATTTTACATATTATATGTTGTACTTAATCTATTTTAGCTATTTTAGAGGGTGCGTCGAAAACTTACGATTTTACGCTTTGATTATACGTTTTACTTAATCGCGCTTTTAACTGCATTGAGTACAAGACTACAGAAGCTAGCATGGATTCTTCTTCTTCACCGTCACATCAACATGCATGTTTTGGGTTTCTTGCCGGCTTTGATTCATATGTTGGTAGTACTATATCTAATTGGAAGGTTAAAGAAGAGTTGGACAAATACTTGCGAGATGCATTGATCCCAAGGAGCGAAGAGTTTGGCGTTTTAT